TGATCAAAAATGGATTTGGTTTTGAATTCTTTGTGTGTCTGTGTAATCTGAGGGAAGTGTGTGTCTCTAATATGGTCATACATTTGGCAAGAAGTTAGGAAGTGCAGCTCAGTTTCCACCTCATTTTGTGGGCAGTGTGCACATAGCCTGTCTTCTCTTGAGAGCCAGGTCTGCCTTCGGCGGCCTTTCTCAATAGCAAGGCTATGCTCACTGAGTCTCTACATAGACAAAGATTTCCTTTATTTTGGATCAGTCACAGTGGTCAGGTATTCTGCCACTGTGTACTCTCTATATAGGGCCAAATAGCATTCTAGTTTGCTTAGTTTTTTTGTAAATTCTTTCCAATGTGTCAAGTAATTATCTTTTTGTTTTCTCATGATTTGGTTGGGTCTAATTGTGTTGCTGTCCAAGTATTTTTAGCCAGATCCTAATTGGGATGTCAAATTTGATGTTCCTTTCGATGGCATAGAAGGCCCTTCTTGCCTTGTCTCTCAGATCATTCAAAACTTTGTGGAAGTTACCTGTGGTGCTGATGTTTAGGCCGAGGTATGTATCGTTTTTTGTGTGCTCTAGGGCAACGGTGTCTAGATGGAATTTGTATTTGTGGTCCTGGCAACTGGACCTTTTTTGGAACACCATTATTTTTGTCTTACTGACATTTACTGTCAGGGCACAGGTCTGACAGAATCTGTGCAGAAGATCTAGGTGCTGCTGTACGCCCCCCTTGGTTGGGGACAGAAGCACCAGATCATCAGCAAACAGTAGACATTTGACTTCAGATTCTAGTAGGGTGAGGCCGGGTGCTGCAGACTGTTCTAGTGCCCTCGCCAATTCGTTGATATGTATGTTGAAGAGGGTGGGGCTTAAGCTGCATCCCTGTCTCACACCCCGGTTCTGTGGAAAGAAATGTTTGCGTTTTTTGCCAATTTTAACCGCACACTTGTTGTATGTGTACTTGGATTCTATAATATCGTATGTTTTCCCCCCAACACCACTTTCCATCCATTTGTATAGCAGGCCCTCATGTCACATTTGGTTTGTTTGTTTGTCAATTAGGGTGTGCAGGATGAATATGTGGTCTGTCGTACGGTAATTTGGTAAAAAGCCAATTTGACATTTGCTCAGTACATTGTTTTCGCTGAGGAAATGTACGAGTCTGCTGTTAATGATAACAGAGGATTTTCCCAAGGTTGCTGTTGACGCATATCCCACGGTAGTTATTGGGGTCAAATTTGTCTCCACTTTTGTGGATTGGGGTGATCAGTCCTTGGTTCCAAATATTGGGGAATATGCCCGAGCTGATGATGATGTTAAAGAGTTTAAGTATAGCCAATTGGAATTTGTGGTCTGTATATTTTATCATTTCATTTAGGTTACCATCAACCCCACAGGCCTTTTTGGGTTGGAGGGTTTGTATTTTGTCCTGTAGTTCTTTAAATGTAATTGGAGAATCCAATGGGTTCTGATAGTCTTTAATAGTTGATTCTAAGATTTTTATTCGATCATCTATATGTTTTTGCTGTTTGTTCTTTGTTTACATTTACATTTTAGTAATTTAGCAGACGCTCTTATCCAGAGCGACTTACATTTTTAGTGAGTGCATAAATTTTTCATACTTTGTTATAGGGCCAAAAAGATTGGAGAACTGGTTTACCCATACATCTCCGTTTTGGATAGATAGCTCTTTGTGTTGTTGTTTGTTTAGAGTTTTCCAATTTTCCCAGAAGTGGTTAGAGTCTATGGATTCTTCAATTACATTGAGCTGATTTCTGACATGCTGTTCCTTCTTTTTCCGTTGTGTATTTCTGTATTGTTTTAGTGATTCACCATAATGAAGGTGTAGGCTCAGGTTTTCTGGGTCTCTATGTTTTTGGTTGGATAGGTTTCTCAATTTCTTTCTTAAGTTTTTTGCATTCTTCACCAAACCATTTGTCATTGTTGTTAATTTTCTTAGATTGTCTGCTTGAAGTTTTTAGATTTGATAGGGAAGCTGAGAGGTCAAATATACTGTTTTGGTTTTCTACTGCCAAGTTTACACCTTCACTGTTACAGTGAAACGTTTAGTCCAGGAAGTTGTCTAAAGGGTCTGAATTTGTTGTTTCCTAATTGTTTTTTGGTAGGTTTCCACACTACTTTCCTTCCATCTATAGCATTTCGTAATATTATTCAGGTCCTTTGTCTTTGATGCCTCATGATTGAGCATAACTCTGTTCAAGTGGAGTGTGATTTTGCTGTGATCTGACAGGTGTGTCAGTGGGCTGACTGTGAACGCTCTGAGAGACTCTGGGTTGAGGTCAGTGATAAAGTAGTCTACAGTACTACTGCCAAGAGATGAGCTATAGGTGTACCTACCGTAGGAGTCCCATCGAAGCCTACCATTGACTATGTACATACCCAGTGTGCGACAGAGCTGCAGGAGTCGTGACCCGTTTTTGTTGGTTATGTTGTCGTAGTTGTGCCTAGGGGGGGCATAAGGGGGAGGAAATGCTGTCACCTCCAGGTAGGTGTTTGTCCCCCTGTGTGCTGAGGGTGTCAGGTTCTTGTCCAGTTCTGGCATTTAGGTTGCCACAGACTAGTACATGTCCCTGGGCCTGGAAATGATTGATTTCCCCCTCCTGGATGGAGAAGCTGTCTTCATTAAAGTATGGGGATTCTAGTGGGGGGATATAGGTAGCACACAGGTAGAAATTTTTCTCTGTTGAGATCATTTCCTTTTGAATTTCTAGCCAAATGTAAAATGTTCCTGTTTTGATTAATTGAATAGATTTAGTTAGGTCTGCTCTATACCAAATTAGCATACCCCCTGAGTCCCTTCCCTGTTTCACACCTGGTAGTTCACACCTGGTAGTTCACACCTGGTAGTTCACACCTGGTAGTTCACACCTGGTAGTTCACACCTGGTAGTTCACACCTGGTAGTTCACACCTGGATCCTCTGAAGACAACTACCTTCTTAACAACATCTCTATAAACAAACAAGTATCTTTATTGACATACTACTAATAATAACAATAATAATATTCATCATCATCATCATCATCATCATCATAATAACCTTTTCCCTTCCTCTTTCTCTCTCTTTCTCTCCTCTCTATTTCCTTCTATTGTCTCTCTGTCTTCCCTGTGTCTTCCCTGTCTCTCTGTCTTCCCTGTCTCTCTGTCTTCCCTGTCTCTCTGTCTTCCCTGTCTCTGTGTCTTCCCTGTCTCTCTGTGTCTTCCCTGTCTCTCTGTCTTCCCTGTCTCTCTGTCTTCCCTGTCTCTCTGTCGTCCCTGTCTCTCTGTCGTCCCTGTCTCTGTGTCTTCCCTGTCTCTCTGTCTTCCCTGTCTCTGTGTCTTCCCTGTCTCTCTGTTCTTCCTCCTCTTCCTCTCTCTCTCTCTCTCTCTCTCTCCCCCTTCAGAGGAGCGAGGGTGATGGTGCCATGCCACGCGGGTGAAGGAGGGCTCCAGTGGGCTGGTACTGGCGCTGGTGTCCATGGCGTGTGTGGGCGGGGTGGTGGTGGTGGCGCTGACCATCGCCTGTCTCAGACACCACACTCAGCAGCTGGCCTCAGGGAAACTGGGCCTCGGACCCGAGGGAGGACCAGAGACACACTTTGACTACCAGGTAAGAGAGGACACTTTGTGTGTGTGTGTCCCAAATGACAGCTTTATCCCCATATAGTGCACTTCTTTTAAACCAGAGCGTTATGGGCCCATGTCAAAAGTAGTGCAGTAGATAGGGAACTGGTATAAAGTAGTGCACTAGATAGGGAACTGGTATAAAGTAGTGCACTATATAGGGAACTTGTCTAAAGTAGTGCACTATATCGGGAACTGGTCTAAAGTAGTGCACTATATAATAATAATAATAATAATAATAATAATAATATGCCATTTAGCAGACGCTTTTATCCAAAGCCACTTACAGTCATGCGTGCATACATTTTTTGTGTATGGGTGGTCCCGGGGATCGAACCCACTACCTTGGCGTTACAAGCGCCGTGCTCTACCAGCTGAGCTACAGAGGACCACATATATAGGGAACTGGTCTAAAGTAGTGCACTATATAGGGAATAGGGTGCCATTTGGAACCTGAAACACACTTTGACTACCAGGTAGGAGAGGTTAGAGCCTTATATGTGGCCTTCAATATTAGACTCTGGGACAGGCTAGGCCTCAGTTAACAGGAAAGACTGCGGGGTCTCAATCGTGGTGATGACGATCATGATGACGCTTTCCTGCTTCTCGTGGGCCCGTGAAAGGCCAGTGTGTCTATGGGTGCGGATGACAACACTATACACGTCAGCTACTACAGCGAGTGAAATCACTGCAACACTTAACAAAGAGCTGCAGTTAGTTTCAGAATGGGTGGCAAGGAAGAAGTTATTCCTAAATATTTCAAAAACTAAAAGCATTGTATTTGGGACAAATCATTCACTAAACCCTAAACCTTAACTACATCTTGTAATAAATAATGTGGAAATTGAGCAAGTTGAGGTGACTAAACTGCTTGGAGTAACCCTGGATTGTAAACTTTCATGGTCAAAACATATTGATACAACAGTAGCTAAGATGGGGAGAAGTCTGTCCATAATAAAGAGCTGCTCTGCCTTCCTAACAGCACTATCAACAAGGCAGGTCCTACAGGCCCTAGTTTTGTCACACCTGGACTACTGTTCAGTCGTGTGGTCAAGTGCCACAAAGAGGGACCTTGGAAAATTACAATTGGCTCAGAACAGGGCAGCACGGCTGGTCCTTAAATGTACACGGAGAGCTAACATTAATAATATGCATGTCAATCTCTCATGGCTCAAAGTGGAGGAGAGATTGACTTCATCACTACTTCTTTTTGTAAGAAGTGTTGACATGCTGAATGTACCGAGCTGTCTGTTTAAACTACAAGCATACAGCTCGGACACCCATGCATACCCCACAAGACATGCCACCAGAGGTCTCTTCACAGTCCCCAAGTCCAGAACAGACTATGGGAGGCGCACAGTACTACATAGAGCCATGACTACATGGAACTCTATTCCACATCAGGTGACTGATGCAAGCAGTAGAATCAGATTTTAAAAAACAGATAAAAATACACCTTATGGAACAGCGGGGACTGTGAAGAGACACACACAGGCACAGACACACATACACATGATAAGACACACACTCTACACACACATGGATGTTTTATTGTAAATATGTGATAGTGGAGTAGTGCTATAAGGGAACACTCAATGTGTTCTGAAAAGTGTTATGAAATGTAATGTCATGTAATATTTTAAATTGTATATAACTGCCTTAATGTTGCTGCTGCCTTGGCAGGAACTAATGAGGATCCGTAATAAACCCCAGGAAGAGTAGCTGCTGCCTTGGCAGGAACTAATGGGGATCCATAATAAACCCCAGGAAGAGTAGCTGCTGCCTTGGCAGGAACTAATGGGGATCCGTAATAAACCCCAGGAAGAGTAGCTGCTGCCTTGGCAGGAACTAATGGGGATCCATAATAAACCCCAGGAAGAGTAGCTGCTGCCTTGGCAGGAACTAATGGGGATCCGTAATAAACCCCAGGAAGAGTAGCTGCTGCCTTGGCAGGAACTAATGGGGATCCGTAATAAACCCCAGGAAGAGTAGCTGCTGCCTTGGCATTAAGGCACCTCTGGGGTTTGTGATATATGGCCAATATACCACTCCGCGTTGCATCGTGCGTAAGAACAGCCCTTAGCCGTGGTATATTGGACATATACCACACCTCCTCGGGCCTTATTGCTTTAATTCTACCACGGCTTTCAGACAATCAGCATTCAGCTAGTTTATAATAACGTTTTTTTATTTCCTTTTAGAATACATCCCTAATTTTACTATGATGTCTGACGAGGGCCCTGGACCTCCCTATTTGTAATATTTCTACCAATATTACCCTAAAAATAAATACTTTACCCAAGAGAATAATTATATTTCCCATTGACTGATCGTGGTTTTTCAGATCCCCTAACAATACAGTTTGCAGGTCCATCTGAACCCTGATATTATGACCTAACAACCATTCCTGGACCTGACTCCAAAAGCGAGCCACCGATGGACAGTGCCAGAATATATGTTCTATTGATTCTGTTTCGTCGTGGCAGAGTCTGCACAGGGCTGACTGTTCAATGCCCCATGTATTGAGCATTCCTTTTATAGCAAGTATTTGATATAATAGCTTAAATTGAAATGAAACTATTTAGACCCGATGCGTAGGTAATGGGACATCAAAGCCCTGTTCCCAACTGACTTGAATTTTATGCTGCATTGCTGTCAAAACTTTTGACTTGAAGTGATACATTTTTCGATTTATACTAATCGTTTTAAGCCATTTATGTTTTTTTTACGGGTGGCAGGCAGACTAATTCTTTAGTTTATTTTTTAAGTAATTGCCTCTTCCAATATTGTGGCAAAGCCACGATGAGTTGGTTATCATTTTGTATTGAGCATACATATCCATACTCAGGGAGAAAAAGGTGTAGAGTCACGCGCAGAGCGCGGCACGTGTTTATTTCACCTTTGCAGAAGGCAGGAATCGTGGTCACAGGCAGGCAATGGTCATACACAGGTAGGCAAACAGGCAGGAGAATCAAAACTAGGACTGAAGGCTAAAACTGGTTCTCACAAACGAGCTAGGAAAAGGCTTAGTAGAGTCAAAACGAACATTACCTCACAAGGCACAAACAGAAAGAACTGAAGTAAATAAGGAGCTGATGAGACCAGGTGAGTAACTAACACAGGTGAAATCAATGAACAAAAATGAAAGACAGGGCTACGTTCAAGAACACAAAGAGACAGGGCTACGTTCAAGAACACAAAGAAACAGGGCTACGTTCAAGAACACAAAGAAACAGGGCTACGATCAAGAACACAAAGAGACAGGGCTACGTTCAAGAACACAAAGAAACAGGGCTACGTTCAAGAACACAAAGAAACAGGGCTACGATCAAGAACACAAAGAGACAGGGCTACGTTCAAGAACACAAAGAAACAGGGCTACGTTCAAGAACACAAAGAAACAGGGCTACGTTCAAGAACACAAAGAGACAGGGCTACGTTCAAGAACACAAAGAAACAGGGCTACGTTCAAGAACACAGAGACAGGGCTACGTTCAACAACACAAAGAGACAGGGCTACGTTCAACAACACAAAGAAACAGGGCTACGTTCAAGAACACAAAGAAACAGGGCTACGTTCAAGAACACAAGGTGAACTAAGAAAACAAATACAGAACCTTACACATACACCGTTGTTAGTTGCTTGTATTACATTTTACCGTAACATGTCTCTATTTATTTTCTCACAAGTTGTGATGATAAATCATAATTATTGCTGATGAAAGTGATTAGCTTCTCATTTGCGTTTTGTTTAACGGAATCTCTTTCTGTTGACTTTCCCAGGAGCTCTGCAGGCAGCACATGGCAGCCAAGACGTCGTTCAGTCGTCAGGAGGCGGTGGGTGTGGGAGCGGGGGGACGGAGGGGGACAGACACGTCCAGGGTGAGCAGTGTGTCGTCCCAGTTCAGCGACGGCCCCCAACACAGCCCCTCCTCACACAGCAGTACACCCTCCTGGAGCGAAGAGCCCGCCCAGTCAAAGATGGACATCTCTACTGGTCACATGATACTGGTCAGTATCAGGGTATGGGGTCATTATATTTCCTACTGGTCAGTATCAGAGGGTATGGGGTCATTATATTTCCTACTGGTTTGTATCAGAGGGTATGGGGTCAATTATATTACTACTGGTATGTTTCAGAGGGTATGGGGTCATTATATTTCCTACTGGTCAGTATCAGAGGGTATGGGGTCATTATATTTCCTACTGGTTTGTATCAGAGGGTATGGGGTCAATTATATTACTACTGGTAAGTTTCAGAGGGTATGGGGTCATTATATTTCCTACTGGTCAGTTTCAGAGGGTATGGGGTCATTATATTTCCTACTGGTCGGTATCAGAGGCTTTATCTGTGTCCAGGAAACGGGCCCTCATTGTTTAACTATTGATCATGGAGCTTTAAACAGCTGGTATAATATGGGGAGGAGAACTCTGTTCTTAACGTTAGTGTTCCTCTCTGTCTCCTTCTCCCCCCCCCCCCCCCCCCCCCCCCCCCCCCCCCCAGGCCTATATGGAGGACCATCTGAAGAATAAGGACCGTCTGCTGAAGGAGTGGGAGGCTCTGTGCTCCTACCAGGCTGAACCCAGTGCTGCTACAGTAGCACAGAGTGAACCCCACCTGGAGAAGAACCGCTGCCCTGACTCTCTGCCCTGTGAGTCGTGTATATACCTCTCCTCTGGTTTATCCTCCAGGCTTGGGCTGGGATTTTAACAAGCACATATTAACCTGTGCACTGTGTTTGACTTAAAGTGGATTTCTGCTTGAGCTGGCATCTGCACAGCGTTCAGAGCAAGCGTGGTCTCAGCAAACGTCAGGGAAATCGCCTTCAGAAGCCTATTGCTGTGCGCAGGCCGTTAATCTGCGTTAGATTGAATCCAGGCCTACATAATTATATCTGCGATCCTCTTCTAGAGCTCGGTTAGTTACAATCTGTTCTGTTCCAGATGATCACTCCCGTGTAAAACTGAAGGCAGAGAGCAACTCCACCAAGGAAGACTACATTAACGCCAGCACCATAGTAAGATCTCTTACTAGTCTTATATCACTGCTCTTACGGTGCTGACGGTATAGACTTTGTCCTGTGGTTGGCACAGACGTCACTCATATCCTCTCTCTGTAAAACCCAGATTGACCACGACCCTCGACTGCCTGCTTACATCGCCACCCAGGGACCACTGGCACACACCATCGCTGACTTCTGGCAGGTCAGTGGCACACACCATCGCTGACTTCACACGATACTCTGAGGAACTTTTAGCTAGAGTCAGCTGACCCAAAATGTTGAAGGAAAGCACTTTAATAGCACATGAATAAACTGAAACTTGCAAAAGATCAGAACTGGGCTTCCTGTGTAAACGCAGCTATGGCGACACGGTTGATTTAGAAGGAAATTGTGGGCAGTAACTATGGCCCTAGTCTGGCATGTCAATCACAGTGTACACCAGTACAGTCCGGTGTGTGACAGTGGGTCGTTGTACCATAGATGGTGTGGGAGAATGGATGCACAGTGATAGTGATGATGACTGCCCTGGTTGAGGACGGAGACACTCAGTGTGTTCGCTACTGGCCTGACGAGGGATCCTCCCTCTACCACATCTACGAGGTGAGTGGTTTATATATCTATAGCCATAGATGATTTAATATCACTCTGTGGCCTCTTTAACACAGTAGTACTACAATATTATTAGAACGACTGCAGTAGAATGGTGGGTGGATCGGCCGCGGCTATGTGTACCCATGACTGTGCCAGTCAATTACCATGGTTTGAGAGGTATTTTCCTTCTAGAAATCATCTGTACGTACCACATTGAGTAGTGCTGTTACCGTAATTATAGAGATACGCTATAGCTCATTGGGTCTCAGTGCTGGTCCTTTTGTTTTTGCCCTAGCTCTACACACCTGATTCAAATCATTCAAAATCTGATGACGAGTTGATGATTTGAATCAGGTGTGTGGCGCTGGGGACAAAACTAAGGACCAGGACTGAGAACCGCTGATCTACGAGCGTATCTCTATAATTAACACCACTACTCAATGTGGTACGTACAGATTTGTAACTCGCTCTGGATAAGAGCATCTGCTAAATGAAGTAAATGTAAATGTACAGATGATTGCCGATCCACCCACCATTCTACCGCAGTCGTTCTAATTATATTGTGGTACTACTGTGTTAAAGAGGCCACTGAGTGATATTAAATCATCTTTGTTCCCTACCAAGGTGAACTTGGTCTCTGAACACATCTGGTGTAAGGACTTCCTGGTTCGTAGTTTCTACCTGAAGAACGTGCAGACCCAGGAGACTCGTACCCTGACACAGTTCCACCTGCTCAGCTGGCCCGCCAATGGAATCCCCACCTCCACACGCCCTCTGCTGGACTTCCGCAGGTACTGCAGATGTTGTCTGTTGGTGCATCTTGACATGAACCACTGGGGAGCATCACTTATTTCACTGCAACTTAACTGCTCTTGCTAGTATCACTGCTCTTTAATAAGCTTTACGTATCGGCTCTGACGAAGGCCTTGAGGCCGATATGTAAAGCTTATTAAAGAGCAGTGATACTATCAAGAGCAGTGATACTAGCAAGAGCAGTTATTCTATCAAGAGCAGTGATACTATCAAGAGCAGTGATACTATCAAGATCAGTGATACTATCAAGAGCAGTGATACTATCAAGATCAGTGATACTATCAAGAGCAGTGATACTATCAAGAGCAGTGATACTAGCTAGAGCAGTGTGTGGGTTTCTTCTTCTTTCTCATATTATTCAGCTGTTACCATGGCACCTGCAACAAAGACAGCTCAGATGTGGGAGTGCCTTTTGAATTTTGAACTGCAACTGAACTACCATGACCTTGCCCTGCCGGTTTTGCTGTGTATGTAGCTGGCTGTTGATGACTGTGTGGCCAGGCCAAGTATTGTCCTATGTAATGACTGTCTGGCCAGGCCAAATACTGTCCTATGTAATGACTGTGTGGCCAAGTACTGCCCTATGTAATGACTGTCTGGCCAAATACTGTCCTATGTAATGACTGTGTGGCCAAGTACTGCCCTATGTAATGACTGTGTGGCCAAATACTGTCCTATGTAATGACTGTGTGGCCAGGCCAAGTACTGTCCTATGTAATGACTGTCTGGCCAAATACTGTCCTATGTAATGACTGTGTGGCCAATTACTGTCCTATGTAATGACTGTGTGGCCAAATACTGTCCTATGTAATGACTGTGTGGCCAAATACTGTCCTATGTAATGACTGTGTGGCCAGGCCAAGTACTGTCCTATGTAATGACTGTCTGGCCAAATACTGTCCTATGTAATGACTGTGTGGCCAATTACTGTCCTATGTAATGACTGTGTGGCCAATTACTGTCCTATGTAATGACTGTGTGGCCAATTACTGTCCTATGTAATGACTGTGTGGCCAAATACTGTCCTATGTAATGACTGTGTGGCCAAGTACTGTCCTATGTAATGACTGTGTGGCCAGATACTGTCCTCTGTAATGACTGTGTGGCCAGATACTGTCCTATGTAATGACTGTGTGGCCAAATACTGTCCTATGTAATGACTGTGTGGCCAAATATTGTCCTATGTAATGACTGTGTGGCCAGATACTGTCCTATGTAATGACTGTGTGGCCAAATACTGTCCTATGTAATGACTGTGTGGCCAGATACTGTCCTATGTAATGACTGTGTGGCCAGATACTGTCCTATGTAATGACTGTGTGGTCAAAAACTGTCCTTTGTAATGACTGTGTGGCCAGATACTGTCCTTTGTAATGACTGTGTGGCCAGATACTGTCCTATGTCATGACTGTGTGGCCAGATACTGTCCTATGTAATGACTGTGTGGCCAGATACTGTCCTATGTAATGACTGTGTGGCTAGATACTGTCCTATGTCATGACTGTGTGGCCAGATACTGTCCTATGTAATGACTGTGTGGCCAGATACTGTCCTATGTAATGACTGTGTGGCCAGATACTGTCCTCTGTAATGACTGTGTGGCCAGATACTGTCCTATGTAATGACTGTGTGGCCAAATACTGTCCTATGTAATGACTGGGTGGCCAGATACTGTCCTATGTAATGACTGTGGCCAAATACTGTCCTATGTAATGACTGTGTGGCCAAATACTGTCCTATGTAATGACTGTGTGGCCAGGGATAACGTGGTCCTATGTAATGACTGTGTGGCCAAATACTGTCCTATGTAATGACTGTGTGGCCAAATACTGTCCTATGTAATGACTGTGTGGCCAGATACTGTCCTATGTAATGACTGTGTGGCCAAATACTGTCCTATGTAATGACTGTGTGGCCAGATACTGTCCTATGTAATGACTGTGTGGCCAGATACTGTCCTCTGTAATGACTGTGTGGTCAGATACTGTCCTCTGTAATGACTGTGTTGCCAGATACTGTCCTATGTAATGACTGTGTGGCCAAATACTGTCCTATGTAATGACTGTGTGGTCAGATACTGTCCTTTGTAATGACTGTGTGGCCAGATACTGTCCTATGTCATGACTGTGTGGCCAGATACTGTCCTATGTAATGACTGTGTGGCCAGATACTGTCCTATGTAATGACTGTGTGGCTAGATACTGTCCTATGTCATGACTGTGTGGCCAGATACTGTCCTATGTCATGACTGTGTGGCCAGATACTGTCCTATGTCATGACTGTGTGGCCAGATACTGTCCTCTGTAATGACTGTGTGGCCAGATACTGTCCTCTGTAATGACTGTGTGGCCAAATACTGTCCTATGTAATGACTGTGTGGCCAGATACTGTCCTATGTAATGACTGTGGCCAAATACTGTCCTATGTAATGACTATGTGGCCAGATATTGTCCTATGTAATGACTGTGTGGCCAGGCCAAATACTGTCCTATGTAATGACTGTCTGGCCAGGCCAAATACTGTCCTATGTAATGACTGTGTGGTCAGATACTGTCCTATGTAATGACTGTGGTGGCCAAATACTGTCCTATGTAATGACTGTGTGGCCAATACTGTCCTATGTAATGACTGTGTGGCCAAATACTGTCCTATGTAATGACTGTGTGGCCAAATACTGTCCTATGTAATGACTGTGTGGCCAGATACTGTCCTATGTAATGACTGTGTGGCCAGATACTGTCCTATGTATGACTGTGTGGCCAGATACTGTCCTCTGTAATGACTGTGTGGCCAGATACTGTCCTATGTAATGACTGTGTGGCCAAATACTGTCCTATGTAATGACTGTGTGGCCAGATACTGTCCTATGTAATGACTGTGGCCAAATACTGTCCTATGTAATGACTGTGTGGCCAAATACTGTCCTATGTAATGACTGTGTGGCCAGATACTGTCCTATGTAATGAATGTGTGGCCAAATACTGTCCTATGTAATGACTGTGTGGCCAAATACTGTCCTATGTAATGACTGTGTGGCCAAATACTGTCCTATGTAATGACTGTGTGGCCAAATACTGTCCTATGTAATGACTGTGTGGCCAGATACTGTCCTATGTATGACTGTGTGGCCAGATACTGTCCTCTGTAATGACTGTGTGGTCAGATACTGTCCTCTGTAATGACTGTGTTGCCAGATACTGTCCTATGTAATGACTGTGTGGCCAAATACTGTCCTATGTAATGACTGTGTGGTCAGATACTGTCCTTTGTAATGACTGTGTGGCCAGATACTGTCCTTTGTCATGACTGTGTGGCCAGATACTGTCCTATGTAATGACTGTGTGGCCAGATACTGTCCTATGTAATGACTGTGTGGCTAGATACTGTCCTATGTCATGACTGTGTGGCCAGATATTGTCCTATGTCATGACTGTGTGGCCAGATACTGTCCTATGTCATGACTGTGTGGCCAGATACTGTCCTCTGTAATGACTGTGTGGCCAGATACTGTCCTCTGTAATGACTGTGTGGCCAAATACTGTCCTATGTAATGACTGTGTGGCCAGATACTGTCCTATGTAATGACTGTGGCCAAATACTGTCCTATCTAATGACTATGTGGCCAGATATTGTCCTATGTAATGACTGTGTGGCCAGGCCAAATACTGTCCTATGTAATGACTGTCTGGCCAGGCCAAATACTGTCCTATGTAATGACTGTGTGGTCAGATACTGTCCTATGTAATGACTGTGTGGCCAAATACTGTCCTATGTAATGACTGTGTGGCCAAATACTGTCCTATGTAATGACTGTGTGGCCAAATACTGTCCTATGTAATGACTGTGTGGCCAAATACTGTCCTATGTAATGACTGTGTGGCCAATACGTCCTATGTAATGACTGTGTGGCCAGATACTGTCCTTTGTAATGACTGTGTGGCCAGATACTGTCCTATGTAATGACTGTGTGGTCAAAAACTGTCCTTTGTAATGACTGTGTGGCCAGATACTGTCCTATGTAATGACTGTGTGGCCAGATACTGTCCTCTGTAATGACTGTGTGGCCAGATACTGTCCTCTGTAATGACTGTGTGGCCAGATACTGTCCTATGTAATGACTGTGTGGCTAGATACTGTCCTATGTCATGACTGTGTGGCCAGATACTGTCCTATGTAATGACTGTGTGGCCAGATACTGTCCTCTGTAATGACTGTGTGGTCAGATACTGTCCTCTGTAATGACTGTGTTGCCAGATACTGTCCTATGTAATGACTGTGTGGCCAAATACTGTCCTATGTAATGACTGTGTGGTCAAAAACTGTCCTTTGTAATGACTGTGTGGCCAGATACTGTCCTATGTAATGACTGTGTGGCCAGATACTGTCCTATGTCATGACTGTGTGGCCAGATACTGTCCTATGTAATGACTGTGTGGCCAGATACTGTCCTCTGTAATGACTGTGTGGCCAGATACTGTCCTCTGTAATGACTGTGTGGCCAGATACTGTCCTATGTAATGACTGTGTGGCTAGATACTGTCCTATGTAATGACTGTGTGGCCAGATACTGTCCTATGTAATGACTGTGTGGCCAGATACTGTCCTCTGTAATGACTGTGTGGTCAGATACTGTCCTCTGTAATGACTGTGTTGCCAGATACTGTCCTATGTAATGACTGTGTGGCCAAATACTGTCCTATGTAATGACTGTGTGGTCTGATACTGTCCTTTGTAATGACTGTGTGGCCAGATACTGTCCTATGTCATGACTGTGTGGCCAGATACTGTCCTATGTAATGACTGTGTGGCCAGATACTGTCCTATGTAATGACTGTGTGGCTAGATACTGTCCTATGTCATGACTGTGTGGCCAGATACTGTCCTATGTCATGACTGTGTGGCCAGATACTGTCCTATGTCATGACTGTGTGGCCAGATACTGTCCTCTGTAATGACTGTGTGGCCAGATACTGTCC